GAACTTCACTCGATAGTGAAGCCTTGGCCTTTTAGAGGATGAGCGTTGGACCTCATTGGAGAGATTCGACCAGCATCATCAAAGAGTCAGAAATACATACTGGTAGGCATTGATTACTTTACTAAGTGGATCGAAGCTATCCCTTTAGTCAATGTAGACCAGGAAAATGTCATTGAATTTATTCAAAAGAACATTATCTTTAGGTATGGAATCCCTGAGACAATAACAACTGATCAAGGATCAGTTTTTACTGGTCGAAAGATGCAAGAATTTGCTCAGGAAACAGGTTTCAAACTCCTAACATCCACGCCTTATTATGCACAGGCGAATGGTCAAGTCGAAGCAGCTAACAAAGTGGTGATTGGCTTGATAAAGAAACATGTTAGGAAGAAACCAAAGAATTGGCATAAGACGTTAGACCAGATTCTGTGGGCTTGTCGAACGTCCCCAAAAGAAGCCACTGGTACAACACCGTATAGGCTAACTTTTGGCCATGATGCAGTGTTGCCAGCAGAAATTTGTCTTCAATCTGCAAGGGTTCAGAGGCATTATGATATTCCTTCTGAAGTCTATTGGAACATGATGTTAGACGAACTGGTGGATTTAGACGAAGAGAGATTACGCGCTCTCGACCTACTCAGGCTTCAGAAGAAAAGAGTAGAAGACTCTTATAATAAAAAGGTAAAACCTAAGGTATTTTTGCCTGAAGAACTAGTTTGGAAGGTAATTCTTCCCATGGATCGAAGGGATCGAAGCATGGGGAAATGGTCACCCAAATGGGAAGGACCCTTCAGAGTCATCCAAACTTTTTCTGGTGGAGCCTATGAAGTCGAAGAGTTAGGTGGAGATAAAAGGCTCTTGAGAGTAAATGGTAAATATTTGATCATTACTTTGGCTGGAGCCCTTCACCTCCACTTGAGTCTGATTGCATACCAACCAAACCTGGTATCTCGCCAGTTTGGTATTATCCAAACCCTACCTTCTCCGATTTTTCCACGAGAGAAGTCAATGTTGTACTTCTGCAATGATTACACCGAAGAAGCTGCCATCAAGCATATCGGAAGATATGCTGGTCGAACAGTTCTCTCGTTGTTTGACTACCAGCTCAATTTTCTTTGCTCACCATCCTTCGAGGAGTGGTGGAAAAGCTATTATGCTGAGGAGTTCTTCGACGAGAAGGACTTCATGGATGAGCTTCAGAAATCCTTTGTCCTTGTGTTGGACAAAATAAAGAAATGTAAGTTCATCCTTTTACATTACTTTGTTTTTTTTCGACTGCTAGCCTGTTAACTTTTTATTTGCTTTCAGTTGTTCGAAAGCCTGTAGCCAAGAAGGCTACAGAAGGCCAACAGGGAGGAGGCCCTTCAACAAAACCTCCACCGCCGGCGAAGACTACAGCGCCGGCGAAGACCACAAACAACCAACAGGGGGAAGGCTCTTCGAAGAAGCCTTCTATATCGGTAACCAGACTTTCATTATTTCCTCCTGACTTTCGATTTTTGACTTTCGATGCAATCATTAAATCGAATTCCCATTGGTTTTCTAGGCACCTTCGCCCAAGAAACGGCCAGCACTGGTGGTCGAATCTGGGAGCGATGAAGAAAGTGATTCTCCTCCTGCCCCTCTAAAAAGGCGAAAGTTGACGAAGGATGCTCCTGTTCCTGCTCCTGCTCCTGAAGGTCGAACCATCAGAATAAAGGTTGCTGGGAGAAAGCCTAGGCCACCTCCAGTGATCATTGAGGAGCCAACGGAGGAGGAATTAAACGTTCTTCTTAACAAGCCTGTCGAAAGCGACAACTCCAACCCTGGGGCTGAAGCTAATTTACAGGTAATCTCCTAGACCCTTTTATAACTTAGGTATAGATACCCATATTCGATTGTGTCTCTTTCGATCTCTGAAGATTTGTCTTCTTTCCTTTTTCAGGACACCACTGAAAGTTCTCCGCCAAGGACCTCTGAAACGCTGGAGTCTGCTGAACTCAGCAGGCCACAAGAAAAAGGCTTGGGAAATGACGAAGCCCATACTGAAAATGAGGCCAATGCTGAAACGGTAGAAAAACCAGCAGAGGAACCTCAAACGGAGGAACAACAGCCAGAAGCGGTTCAGGTGGTGGATCTGTCAGAAGAGAATCATGAAGAAAGGGACCAAGGCAATGCTGGCGAAGAAAATCAAGGTGCTGCTGGCGAAGAGAACCAAGGTGACACCGGCGAAGGGCACCAAGGTGACGCTAGCGAAGAGCACCAAGGTGACGCTAGTGAAGAGCACCAACGTGACGCTAGCGAAGAGCACCAAGGTGACGCTGGTACTGCCCCAGTCCGAGTCGAAGAGCAACAAGTCGAGGCACCTAACATTCAACAACCTCAAACCCAAGACAATGTTGTTGCAAGGGTTACCTCAACGAAGCACAGGTCAAAAGAGGACTTAGAACTCTTGAAACAAACTGACCCTGTTAGCTATCTCAACGCAATCATCGAGAGCAAGAGTTCGTCTGATGCTAGTCAGGAGATTCCTACCCTGTCGGGGAAGTCTACTGAAACCTCTCCTCTCGATGAAGCTTTGGCGAAGGTTAAGGCCCAGTTCTTCAAGAAGGACTTGATGAAGGCTTTAGAGGGGGACCCCACTGCTCCATCATACTTGAAGGATGTCTTGAATGCTGTCGACTTGTTAGCTGTAGCCCCAGAAGTTTCAGGCTTGATCATGGAGTTACATTCTATGATTGATCAAGTCTCAGCAGATTATAGGCGCCAAAGGGGGTTTAACAGTCAGCTTGAGGTGTTGTATGGCAAAAGCTCCTCTGCGTGGACTGCTGTCTCGGATACGACTTCTCGAATTGCGGAGTTGTCAAAGCAAAAAGCATCTACGCAGGAAGAAGTCGATGCCATCGATCGAGAGAATGGAGCCCTTCACCATGATGGGGTACTTTTTTTTTACCTTCCGGAATTAATTAAATGCATAGGGGACCATCCTTTTGTTGTGTTGCGGCATGCTCCTAATATTTACAGATTAGCAGGGGGCCTCAGGCCCTACTTAGTTGACTGACAATGACAAAGGCTTGCGAAACTCAGTAGGGCCTTTTGAATTGAATCTGAAGTAGTCTATCAGCGGTGCAAAGCGGCTTTGTGCCCCTTTTCAGTAGGGGAGCGAAAGGTTAGACCTTAGAAAGTCAGCGAACAGCGGTTCTTCTATGTAGGTATGGCCTTCCCCCTTGACTCTCCTAACGTCGAGCTAAGTGACTCCGTAACCTTTGCGTAGCGTAGTAGAATGAAGGCTACACACTGACGCTCTCTTATCTATTAGCCTAAGCGTCTTCGCTAACTCGCTCGCCTACTATACCCTACTATACAATACATTAGTAGGCTAACCCATAGGTCCTTAGTAGCGTTGACAAAGAAGAACAGCCGGTTAAAAGACAGTGAATCTTTAGAAAAAGATTTTTCTAAAAGATTCTATAATAATGAATAATATATTTTATATAGGCCAGCTTGACAAGCTACCCTTCCTCTTGATCTTAGGTGCGAAGAGAAATATCTCTTTTTTATGACTTCCACTTATCTATCGATCCCGGTCCGGAAAAGTGACCGACCAGGGCCCTCTTTTTGAATGAAAGAAAGGCTTTATGAGCCCTAGCCCTGTAAGCCCACACCTGTGTAGAGTAGATCGTTCAACACCTGCGGCACAAACCCATTTTTGACCTATTGGTCCTAGTATCATAGGCGACCGAACGATCGCCCCCTAATTACTAGACCAACCTGCTGTAATAATTCCATAAACACCTAACGAAGATATGGCAAACAAATAAAGTAGCCCTATGTTCGAATCTGACAATACCATACCATAATCAAAAGGTACAACGGCCCGAGCGACCAGACTTAACATAAATGTAGCCACTGGAGCCATTCTAAAAAGGGAGAAATTAGCACTACTTGGTGAAATAGGTTCTTTTAGAATCAATTTCAAACCATCTGCTAGAGGTTGTAACAATCCGAACGATCCCACTACATCAGGACCCTTTCGACGTTGCACAAAAGCCATTACTTTACGTTCAGCTAGCACTAAAAAGGCTACTCCTAGTAGAAGTGGTAGAATTATTCCTAGTATTTCAGCTGGAACAGCTATGTACGTTTTCGATTTTCTATTCACTCATGATCTGGCCTGGTCGACCCAATCATGATATTGAAGGATGGGACCTTTTCTCGAAAAACCCTGTATCTCGACATAAGGGCATTCTTTTCGATCTTGTACCCAGCAAGAAAACGAATGCGCGAACGCGGCATCGACCCCGAATATGGTCAAGTCGAAGCAGCTAACAAAGTGGTGATTGGCTTGATAAAGAAACATGTTAGGAAGAAACCAAAGAATTGGCATAAGACGTTAGACCAGATTCTGTGGGCTTGTCGAACGTCCCCAAAAGAAGCCACTGGTACAACACCGTATAGGCTAACTTTTGGCCATGATGCAGTGTTGCCAGCAGAAATTTGTCTTCAATCTGCAAGGGTTCAGAGGCATTATGATATTCCTTCTGAAGTCTATTGGAACATGATGTTAGACGAACTGGTGGATTTAGACGAAGAGAGATTACGCGCTCTCGACTTACTCAGGCTTCAGAAGAAAAGAGTAGAAGACTCTTATAATAAAAAGGTAAAACCTAAGGTATTTTTGCCTGAAGAACTAGTTTGGAAGGTAATTCTTCCCATGGATCGAAGGGATCGAAGCATGGGGAAATGGTCACCCAAATGGGAAGGACCCTTCAGAGTCATCCAAACTTTTTCTGGTGGAGCCTATGAAGTCGAAGAGTTAGGTGGAGATAAAAGGCTCTTGAGAGTAAATGGTAAATATTTGAAAAAATACAAACCTACACTTCAAGAGATAAAAATAAAATAATAAAAGAACAAGACTAAGTTAACCATAAAAATGCCAAAATGGAAATTTTATAAATTTCAGCCAAGATGGCAATGTTGTCGAATATAGATTACAAAATATGGTTACAAAAGAGAATCAATCAAAAGGGAATAGAGTCCTTGAGTCGAAGGTACTTGGCTTGCTGCAGCTCCAACCTTTTCTTGCACCAGGCGTTCTCCTGCACTAGTTTGGCAATCTGAGCGTCGAAGCCTTGGGCCTTCTCAGCGAATTCCAGGCCTTGTTTGATTTCAGTCTGGCTCTCGGTGTCTGAGATGGTCGAAAGAAGTTCCTCCTTGCGTATAGTGTTGGCATTTATCTTCGCCTCTATTTCTTCGATTTGTGCCCGGAAGGAAGCATTCTCTCGATCGATGGCATCGACTTCTTCCTGCGTAGATGCTTTTTGCTTCGACAACTCCGCAATTCGAGAAGTCGTATCCGAGACAGCAGTCCACGCAGAGGAGCTTTTGCCATACAACACCTCAAGCTGACTGTTAAACCCCCTTTGGCGCCTATAATCTGCTGAGACTTGATCAATCATAGAATGTAACTCCATGATCAAGCCTGAAACTTCTGGGGCTACAGCTAACAAGTCGACAGCATTCAAGACATCCTTCAAGTATGATGGAGCAGTGGGGTCCCCCTCTAAAGCCTTCATCAAGTCCTTCTTGAAGAACTGGGCCTTAACCTTCGCCAAAGCTTCATCGAGAGGAGAGGTTTCAGTAGACTTCCCCGACAGGGTAGGAATCTCCTGACTAGCATCAGACGAACTCTTGCTCTCGATGATTGCGTTGAGATAGCTAATAGGGTCAGTTTGTTTCAAGAGTTCTAAGTCCTCTTTTGACCTGTGCTTCGTTGAGGTAACCCTTGCAACAGCATTGTCTTGGGTTTGAGGTTGTTGAATGTTAGGTGCCTCGACTTGTTGCTCTTCGACTCGGACTGGGGCAGTACCAGCGTCACCTTGGTGCTCTTCGCTAGCGTCACCTTGGTGCTCTTCGCTAGCGTCACCTTGGTGCCCTTCGCCGGTGTAACCTTGGTTCTCTTCGCCAGCAGCACCTTGATTTTCTTCGCCAGCATTGCCTTGGTCCCTTTCTTCATGATTCTCTTCTGACAGATCCACCACCTGAACCGCTTCTGGCTGTTGTTCCTCCGTTTGAGGTTCCTCTGCTGGTTTTTCTACCGTTTCAGCATTGGCCTCATTTTCAGTATGGGCTTCGTCATTTCCCAAGCCTTTTTCTTGTGGCCTGCTGAGTTCAGCAGACTCCAGCGTTTCAGAGGTCCTTGGCGGAGAACTTTCAGTGGTGTCCTGAAAAAGGAAAGAAGACAAATCTTCAGAGATCGAAAGAGACACAATCGAATATGGGTATCTATACCTAAGTTATAAAAGGGTCTAGGAGATTACCTGTAAATTAGCTTCAGCCCCAGGGCTAGAGTTGTCGCTTTCGACAGGCTTGTTAAGAAGAACGTTTAGTTCCTCCTCCGTTGGCTCCTCAATGATCACTGGAGGTGGCCTAGGCTTTCTCCCAGCAACCTTTATTCTGATGGTTCGACCTTCAGGAGCAGGAGCAGGAACAGGAGCATCATTCGTCAACTTTCGCCTTTTTAGAGGGGCAGGAGGAGAATCACTTTCTTCATCGCTCCCAGATTCGACCACCAGTGCTGGCCGTTTCTTGGGCGAAGGTGCCTAGAAAACCAATGGGAATTCGATTTAATGATTGCATCGAAAGTCAAAAATCGAAAGCCAGGAGGAAATAATGAAAATCTGGTTACCGATATAGAAGGCTTCTTCGAAGAGCCTTCCCCCTGTTGGTTGTTTGTGGTCTTCGCCGGCGCTGTAGTCTTCGCCGGCGGTGGAGGTTTTGTTGAAGGGCCTCCTCCCTGTTGGCCTTCTGTAGCCTTCTTGGCTACAGGCTTTCTGTTGGCTCCTAAATTTGACACCTTTGTTTTGATTGATGTCAGCCATTAAAGCTGAAGGATGGCTTCGACTGGCTAAGTCTGTCGAAATGCCCGTCGAAAGATGGCAAAGTACTTAGAAGATTTCTTCCAAGGAAGAAGGCTGGTTCCCTTCGACGTCGAAGGAGTATCTCGTCGAAGATGTCTCTTGACGAAAGTGTTCGATGGTTCAGAGTGGAGCAGTTTGAAATTCAAGCGTTTGGAGGGAAAACGGTTTCCAGCAGTTACCACGTGCAAACGTGCAAGGATCTGGAGCGTCGAACGCGGAGAACGTGCCAAGTGGATTGATCTCGAAGCAGTGTAACTGCCTGACGGTTACTTGGGATGTTTTAGTATAAATAGGAGTAGACATGTAGTTTCTCGCGTGTGTTCACAATTCTATACAAAGTCACTCATATAGATTCGAGTACCCAGCGTGTGAGAAAGAATTGTTGAGAAATGTATGTGTGAAACACCAATTTTATCAATTAAAGTCATTTACTTTTCCAGAAATTTACTTGCTTTCTCCTTTACATTCCTGTCGAACCTTTTACTTTAAAGCCTTGTTTATTTTACCAAGTCTTTCCTTTATGCAATTTACTTGAAACCTTTTATTTAAAGCCTTATCCAACTTAATCAAACTTCAAAATCAACCTATGTCCTAGGATCAATCTGATCGATCCTGCGAGTAACCAAATAAGTAACCATTTGGAGGATCAGCGGTTGTTTACCAAAACCCAAGGTAAACAAATTGGCACACCTGATGGGACTGTGTGTTGATTGTTGAAAATAATCTCATCTTTTCGAGTTGTATGTTATTGAGAAGTGGTAGAATATACACTAACGATAACAATACTGCCAGAAGAAGGGAAGAGATGGCGAATCCGCCAAACACTAACGAAATCCCACAAACGAGTGTGGGAACAACGGTTAGTATGACCGTAAGTGAAGCGACGAATGTTGGTTCGACACCAGCAGTATCGGTCACAACCACGGGGCCAATAACTTCGTTAACAGGCCCCAGAATACCTTTGGGAACTCCCCCACCAAGGGGAAATTTAGGCACAAGGCCTTTCGTTCCCCCAGGATTCATTCCACTCTATGGTATGCCAACTTCTGAAGTGGCAAGCCTGACGAATGTTGCGTCCACTTTTTCAGACCCTTTCGTGAGTGCCTCTTCGCCACTCCAAGGTTCTGGAGTAGGCATGGCGAATAGAAATAGGACCCAACTCTTAGGAGGAACGTCCCAAGTAGCCCATGGCCTTACAAATGCCTCGACAGCAGTCTTGAGGCAACAAATGGACGAAAGCAACCATGATATGGTGCAAATGTTGGCACAAACTTTGAGTACAGTGCTAAACCCTCTAATACAAAACACTACTCAATCGAATCAGCAAGTGACAACGCAAATGACGCGCTTGGCTGATTTCTTTGGAGTACCCCCACCTGTTCGACAGCCTCAAAGGGCGCAAATAAGGGGAAACCAGGGGATATTTGTAGAGGAAGAAACCACCATTAACCAGGCTCAACAGCCTGTCGAAGAAAACCTTAGGGCACGATTGGAACAACCTGTCGAAGAACCTAGGGTAATAGCCCCAGAGGTAAGGTTAGTTAACAGAAACCAAAATGTTGACGAAGTGGTTCAGCATATCCAATACCAAAACATGGGCTTGGAAAACAATCTGGCAACCATGATTGAAAGGATCATGACTCAGAATGGGATGAACATGGGCTTTCGAAGGCCCAACTTTACATCTCCATTGTCAGAATACGTGTTACAGACGGACTTACCTCCTAGATGCAAAGTCCCCAAATTTACTAAGTTCTCTGGGGACACGACAGAATCTACTGTCGAGCATGTGGCGAGATATTTGATCGAAGCAGGAGACATTTCGAATAACGAAAACCTAAGGATCAAGTACTTCCCAAGTTCTTTGACCAAGAACGCTTTTACTTGGTTTACAACTTTCCCCCCCAATTCGATCCATCATTGGACCCAGTTGGAAAGATTGTTCCATGAACAATTCTACATGGGCCAAACCAAGATAAGCCTGAAAGAATTGGCCAGTGTGAAGAGACGTTTCACTGAACCTATAGACGAATATCTGAATAGGTTTAGGTTGCTCAAGGCGAGATGTTTTACACAAGTGCCAGAACATGAGTTGGTCGAAATAGCCGCCGGCGGTTTAGATTATTCCATTAGGAAGAAGCTAGACACCCAGTACCTAAGAGACATGGCCCAACTGGCCGATAGAGTTCGACAGGTCGAACGCCTCAAAGCTGAAAAAGCTAAGGCAACGAAAACTCACAAGAGAGAAAGGATAGCGTATGTTGAGATGGATGACGAAGATCTAGAATCCTTCGACGATACTTTAACTGTCGAAGAAGGAGAAGTCGATTTAGCAGAACTGAAACAAGGGCCACCATACTCTTGTAAACTGTTAGTCCCCTCAAATGGGAAAAATCCCATTGGTCCAGAAAAGACCAACGATAGGTTCCCAAAAAAGACTTATAGTTTTGACATCACAAAATGTGATGAAATATTCGACTTGCTAGTTAAAGATGGCCAAATGATAGTACCCCCTGGGGTAAAAGTGCCTCCTCTTGATCAAAGAAAGAAGAGAGGTTTTTGCAAATATCATAATTTTTTGGGCCATAAAACTTCTCAATGTTTTCTTTTCAGGAATCTTGTGCAAGACGCTATTGAGGAAGGGAGATTAAAGTTTGCAGACAAATCCCCCATGGCTATCGACTCCAATCCACTGAAGGCTGAAGCCCACTATGCTGAACCCTCTGAGGTGAACATGATAGAGGCAACCAGGATCCAGTCGAAGAAGCCAGGCATTACCATGGTCGAAGTCTCAAAGGACCACATCAACATGCCAATCTTTGGCAGTTTTTCTGGAAATTTATCCAGGAAGACAATTGAAGCTGTCCAGAAAGCGGTCGAGAACCCGAAGTCGGAGACCGCTGAAGCACAAAAAACTGGATCAAAACCCAGTTCCCACTTGGCCACTGTTCAAGGCCAGACGGAGAATCTGGAGATACAAATGAAGCAGTTAACTCTTGCTAACAAAGATACAATGAATATCAACATGGTTGAACTTTCTGACCCAAAAGCATCAGAAGAGGCCATAAGGCAAGAGCAGGCTAATAAGGCGGCTTTCCCTCAGGAAAACGAAAACTTGGCAGATTTTCTACAAAGATGCCAGAAAAAGAAATCAGAGGTGATGCTGTGTCCAAGATGCAGTTCGATCTTTGATAAAAAAGCTGCTGAGCACATTCAAGGCGTGAGAGCAGCGAATAAGAGAAGGGAGAATGTTGCCCTTCGACATGATCCCAGAAGGGGTTCTAACCAAGAAAAGAGGCCATTAACTTTTAGGCCTCCAACAAATGTGCCAGTAGACACTTGGTACAAAACCTCTGGCCGGAAAAGGCCAAGTGAGGAGAAATGGCATTCTTTCGATGTGCCAAGAGGTTCCTCTTTGACTCAAAAGAAAGAGCCTCAAGTTGCTGCACCTAAGGTTACACAAGTGTCCAGTAACTACAAGGGTAAAAATCCTATGTCTCGATCTCAGTGGAGGAGATATCAAAGGAGACGAAAAGCTGAAAGGGAGGCTGCCAACGAACCTAAGGCAGAAACTAGTTCGAATGTTCCTCAAAGGAAACAAAGGAAGCCTCTAGAGAGAGAGCCAGTTACCAACAGGCTAGTTTGGCCTAACCAAA